GAGAGAGCGAGAATAGAGAGAGGAGAGAGAGAGAGAGAGAGAGAGAGAGAGAGAGAGAGAGAGAGGAGAGAGAGAGAGAGAGAGAGAGAGAGAGAGAGAGAGAGAGGAGAGAGAGAGAGAGAGAGGAGAGAGGAGAGAGGGAAGGGAGAAGAGGGAAGAGAGAAGGAGGGAGAGAGAGAGCGGAGAGAGAGAGAGAGCGAGAGAGCAGAGAGAGCGAGAGAGAGAGAGAGAGAGAGTAGAGAGAGAGAGAGAGAGAAGATAAGAATATGAGAGCGGGATAGAGATCCTCTCTCTCTCTCTCTTCTCTCTCTCTCTCTCTCTCTCTCTCTCTCTCTCTCTCTCATCTCTTATATCACTCCCTCTCTCTCTATCCTATCTCTCCTATCCACTCTATAACACTGAAAGGAGCTTATGGCCTTCACATATCCAAAAGTCCATGGCATTGTCGATGTTATGCTCTAGGAATGAGTTATTTTTGACATTCCAACTTTTACGTACAAAATCGAGAAACCAGAGAAACAGATAAGTTTGCAGGCTATGGTAGGTTTCAAGTAGAAATGCGGCTTGATAATACCCGGCTGATTTTTTATTTTTACTTTTTATGTTTTAGCAAGGGATGGAATTATTTGCAGGTTAAGCCTATTCCGTACTGGATGGAAACTTAAGTTTTGGATCGCATTTTGGCATCATTTTCGGCCCGAATAATTGTCCCAAAGTGTTCGTGATCAAGCGGTATGAAGTTTGTTTTATCAAAATCGGCAAGATATTATGGCCAGCAATTGAACTGGGCGCTTGAGGCGCTTTTATGTCTTGCTTTCCCCCCCATACATTTTCAGATCAGTGATGGTGATCGGAGTGGCACGATGAAGGCTGATATGCTACTACTTAGATGACACGACCAACACAGACATCTCGTGGCCAACTTAACACTGCCAAGTCTTCACACTAGTTTGTCCCGTCACTCCAGGACCTTTGCTCACATGCACCTTCTGTTCTTGGTGTCGAACTCCTTCGATACACTGTTTGTCAGAATTGATCCCTCACGGCACCGCTCCTCACATTCCCAGGGTGTCGCTTCTTACTGTGTCTTCAGAATCAGCGTACCACGAAGCAGCCAGGTCACCATGTCTTCGTGACCAAGTCCTACAGGTCAGCTAACTCGGAGACAGACTCAGCTAGGTCACGGGTCAGACTGTGGTCATCTCGCTCGGTGAGATCACACTATCGGAGCTGACGAGCCGCATCTGAATGGGCCAGCCTTCTTAGGAGAGCAGTCAAATGCGCGAATCCCAGAAATACACAACACCATGATTATGGTATTGAGCTCTGGGTTCCAAATGCACTGAGAACAAGTCCAAAAGACAAAACGACAAAGGTTCTGACTTAAATAGTTTTACAACATTGTAATTCTGCGTCAAAGTCCCGTGATAATTCAAGATCTCTGCCCTGGGTTTGCCGAAGGAACTCCCAGCATCCTGAATCACGAAATCCATGTCCCAGCTCTATCGCTGGACTCTGCAAGCGCGGACTCTGAAGCGAAATGCAGTGGGCCCATTTACAAAGCTATTGCCTTAAAGTTACGATGTGCTTAAATCAGGTTAGCTCTGCTACACCTCCTCGCTGTCGTTAAATCTTCAAAGACGCCGACTTGATGACCAGTGACTTGACTCCGCTGGGTGACCGGTGACTTGGGTAGGATGTCAGTTCGTGTCGTCAGTTAGTGGAAGCTACTCTGTGGGCAGTTTCCATGAACTGACGACACCAGGCTGAGTCTGAAAGCTGTCCAGATAGGAAAGAATACGGCCGATTTGTGGCAGGCTCGAAATCCCACACATGTGGTAAAAGATACTCATTAAAAACAGAATCTTCTCATATCACCTGGAGTCATTTTCGTAGGGTTCTGCTTCCAATTTTAACTTGATGAAGGGTCTTTACTAGCATTCAGGAGCTTTCCCTTCATTTTGCGGAAAAATCTAGGATTCAGAGTACTTTTAAATGCTGTCGAGAAATCTGCAGGCATCCGACATTCATTCGAGCACTCAGATTTAAATTTCCAGGGTACCGAATTAACCTAAAAGCTTAGCTGAAAGATCTTCTGGGGTGCCAAATCCATTCATTGACTCCACGGACATAACCCACCCGGGACGTCAGGCGCCGGCCTGAGAGCCGCTCAGGCCGGGTGTCGCTGCTCTGAGGGCTCAGACGAGGAGCTGTAGCCCGCCGCTCAGCCCGTCCCGGCCTCTGGACGTCAGCTCGCCGCTGAGCTCTGATCAGCCGGTGGGCTGCGGCGGACCGCTCAGCTGCCCCCGGGCGGCCGCCGCAGCTCAGTCACTGAGCTCGAGCTCGTCGGGCGGGTCGAGCTCGGTCAGCACGTGCATCTCGGGCGTGATGGAGAGCCGCGGCTGCCGATGCGACTCACTGGCCAGCAGCCGCGTGACGTCTGGGGGCGCGCCGGCGCGCCGCCGACGGCGCACCAGGAACGCGCGCACCATCGCCTGGATCTTGGCGATCTTCTTCACTTCGCGCTCGTACAGCCTGCCGTTGCGCACGCGGCACGGGTCAGGGACCAAGGTCAGAGGCCGGAGGTCAGGGATACTACCCCGTCTCCAGGTGTCGGCCTGGCATCAGATTATGAGAAATGTGTGGAGAAGGCACCAACAACGGTTAAAATAGTACTTGTGGTAATGGTTCATTATAAGTCGTTGGGCGATGCTTATCAATGGCTCAATGGCATCAATGTCACATAACGGCAGCAGTGGTCAGTGCACGGAGCGACGTAAGCACAAACCCACCGTGTACACAGTGGTCTTTAGTGTAGTGACCATTGTCAGTCCCAGTTATCATCATGACGTACGTGTTTCATGCACCAGGTGAACAGCGTAGCAGGACATCAATGCAATACACGAGGGGCAGTATTACAGTCATAGCAACGGACAAAGCATCCATGGTGCATTTTCTCGACCAGTTCCTCTGAAAGACTGAGGCGCAAACTATATCACGAAGTCGCTAGACGGGGAGCAGATGTGCTATAAAAAGAAGCCAATGAATCACGACTCGCTCCGTTGCCAGGCCCTCACTGGAAATCTACGCGTCCGATCATCGGAACGCTCGACCCCACCTGCTCATAAACTCCTCATCATCATCATCCGATCATCGACCCACCTACTCATAAACGCCTCGTCATCATCATCCGATCATCAACCCACCTGCTCATTATCTCCGCCTCATCATAATCCGATCATCGACCCACCTGCTCATAAACTCCTCGTTGAAGTACTTGAGGAAGATCTTCTCCCGGCCGATGATGTAGCCGTCCAGCTTCAGACGCACTAGCAGGAGACGGCAATTCTCCCGTGACACCTCCACCCTCTCGTCGAAGTCGAAGGCCAGAAATTGGTACCTGCCGAAAGTTTGGCACAGCGCGTTTTCGACTAACGCCATGCTGCGACCAATTTACACACGTCAGTCGCGAGGGCCTGTTCTCAATTCGGGAGGTGTTTGCTTCTGGGCCGTCGGTTAATGGCGTCTACATAAGTTCACGCCAAGCTATTGGGGCGACTGACTTTAATGAGTGTCAATACCAGACAAACTTGGGGATTTGTCACCGTTGTTTTGCGATAAATATGAGTTATTCATTTACCATGCTAGTAACAATGCAACCCGAGGGTTAACGAACCACGAGGATACAAGTATTGCAATATCCACCAAACGTCCGGCATCATTACTTTCTCACATCTTATATGCACTAACCGTCTCAGAAACTCCGCAAAAGGTATCCTCTGAGAGAATCCATTTTTCCTGGTTGCGATGGTGTTCACAACTTGCATGCACTTCAGTTGATGAGAAACTAGACCTGCATGGAACAGGGATGCTGGTCAGCATTGTGCGTTGGCATGGTCGGCATTGTGCGTTGGCATGGTCGGCATTGAACACAATCAGGAAGGACTTTAAAGAGGCTCACGAATACCGAACGTCACTTAAACATGATAATTTCACCATTTTCAATTCATGCATCTCAGGAACACGTGGAAGCTGTGCTCCTCATGGGGCAGATCTTGACAGACATGAGCTCTGAGATGAATAAGTGGTCAGCGAAAGACACCGCGTGCAGTCAGAGCCAACGTCCTTCGGGGGGCAAGTTTATCCCCACGCGCAGTACTGTATCAGCCTATCCCCTCCTTCCTCAGAACAACACATTTGTCACACCTTAACCATCCCTGCCCCTACCAACACTTCACCTCCATTTCAGGTCCATGTTGATGGCTCGTTCTGTAGATCAGCTGTTTGCCGAGCACACACTCTGCCTCCGCCAGCACGTCACATCTGTCCCACGCACACCCTCCCAGCAGCAGCCCGTACGTTACCTGTGTCCCAGGTGTTGGCAGCGCCGTCGCCGTTCGGGCGGACGCAGCGCACAAAGTGGGGCGTGCTGTTGATCAGCTTGTGCATGACCTCCATGGCGCTGAAGCGGTAGCAGGAGGCCTGCGTCAGCAGCGCCAGGCCCGTCTGCGAGAGCCGGCCTCGCGACCGCGTGTCGAACCGCTGGAACGAGAGCGCCGGGTTAGGTACGCCGGTGGCGTCTGATGGGTGCTCTGGGCAGGACCTCAGCCTAGGACCATCAGGGTCGATTAACCTCAGACATCGTGGACAGCTTGATCACCATCACGGTTGGTATTTCTGATCGTTCCACATGGTACCCCTTCATAGAGCGGTGACCACCACGGGCATCCCTTCACAGAGCGCCCCATGCGCATGACTGCTAGATCCATTCGAAGTCCATATGGAAAATCTCTAAAGGCAAAGTTTGCAGGAGGATGAACTGAACATTATTATTGTATCGTTTCGTACAATTAAAAAAGCTAGGCAGCAGGTTCTTGGTCCGATGCTCAATTTCTGACTTGCTGGTATGGCTGCAGCTTTGGGTCTGCCTCCTCCAACGCGAAGAGCAGTCACAGCTCTTAGACATAACCGTCCACAACGCCGCCAGGTCCAGATCCACAACGCCGCTAGGCAGACAATGGTCCAGTGGGAGAGCTAGCTCCAGACCTTATTGCCGGTGCCGTCATCGGAGACCTTGGCCTTGCCGCCGGCTTCCCTCTGCGCCTGGTCCCGGTCCATGGTCAAGTTGCCCGTCTTGGTGAGTGGTAGCAGGAACATGGGCGCCACGAACGGGTCCTCCGACTGGCGCAATGTGTCGAACAACTCTGGGTCCAGGTGGTCCTGGGGACCGTCAAGCGAGTGTCAGATCGTGCTCGGGGACGGCGCGAAAGGAAAGATCGCTCTCAGGGACACTGGGTGAGGGCCAGGTAGTCGTGCTTATTTCTGGTTGATACGATCCTGACACGAATAAATCACCCTGCACGATGACAGTAGAGCGAAAGAAGAGAAAGTGACGCAAGCATCTCATTCGTCCTGCAAATGGAGAGGAAGCCCCACTGATAGCTGCATCACTGCAATCAATGTTTCAGGAACCATGCCGCACCCGAGGAACACTACCTTATTTTTCTGCACGATGTCCTTCTTGGAGTAGGAAACCTTCCCGGCGTAGTGGGCAATGCTGAAGCCCTCCTTCTCGGGAATGAAATGGCGACTTTCCACGCTCTCGCGACACGTCTCTGGAATCGGGTAGGCTGTGAGTCGTGAACGCCATTTGCTTAGAACACATGCTCTACAAATACTACTTTCGGAATATGTGCTTGGCAAGTTGTATGTTAATCGCCAGCTCTTTTCTGGTGAGGTCGGACAAGTCTAGAGTTTAGCTTGGGTATATTAATAAACAATGAGGTAGAGTAAATATACAAGTACTAACTAACTAGTACTAACAAACCAGTAAATAAAGAATGAGGAAGAGTTCAACTTAACTGACTCGCATGGCCAGGAAATTACGTTTCCTAAAAGGCCATATTTCTGCAACCCTCCAAAAAAGCTTCATGCAGTTGTAGGCAAAACGAAGCGCAATTCTTTAAAAGGAAGCAACAAGATCTGAAGGTCTTAACGTACAACCTGTCGGATCGGACGCGATTTTCCTGCAACGTTGGGACATCCACGGAACATTGCTTTTCCAATCCACTAGCATGATTCACGCAAAATTTATCAATTACAGATTAATTAAACAAAACCGGTCTAGGGGGGGGGGGGGGGGCTCACATCTCCCTGGTCCTGTGTCACCACGGAACAGGATCCCAGCCTACGATGGAGAAGAGTGTTGACAATCGAACGTCGTTCTGACAGAAGTTTGGCTTGATGTGTGCAATCGGTTACGAGCGTTACAGCGCTCATCATGGATCTGTCCGTTCTTGGGCAGGTTTCAGAGTTAATGTCCAGTCTTGGCCACTACGTAGATATGAAACCAGCAACATGGTGCAGGCGAATATACCTTTCACAAATCAACATGGGATTTCAACGCCGTCCGACCCGTAGTGTTAACAGCAATCGACCTGCAGCCGAGCAACGTCGTGCCATTTGGGCTAGTCTCGAATCTCACATCCGTCCGTCGTATCTTCAGCATAAAGAGGTCTAGGCATGAAAACTACACAGGTGTCACACCCGTTGCAATGTGACATGTACACACCCAAAGTATTTCATTTCACGAATAATTTAGCCGCGGCCACCGAAAGCAGGCAACATTCGAATTGTATCGTTTTCTTTTGCTCAGGTGGATGGCCCGGGCTTGCCCGCGATCATGTGGCGCTGAGGCCATTCTTTGTCACACCCTGTTTTCATCAAATGCGAACATTCCAGCAAAATGATAAAACCCATCTACATGGATATTCAAAAACACTTGGTCCTCTCGCTTAACTGTCGACTTTGGAAACTATCCTCTTGTGAAAAATCCTCATATCTGTCATCACTTCATTTGTCGCACGCCGCAGAAAGTGTGTTGCGTGCTGTGCAAGAATGCAATAGAAATACTTACCGAGTAGCTTCTCGTCGGAAGAGTCTGCTGACAGCGTCGTCTCATCCAGCACCGCCAGCAGGCCTTGTCCCTTCTTCATCAGCATGTCAATGGTGGCGCTGTTGTCGACGAAGTGGAAGGACGGCGCCTCCAGGTCGTCATTGCGGTAGTCCTCCTGAGTGGTGGAAAGGAGACGGATTGCACGACCCAGTCGTGTATCTCTACCAGCATCCATAAGCCGTAGTGACGATTGTTGTATGTGCATCTGAGAAAACATTACGTTTGATTCATGAAGTACCTAGGCCAGCATTTATGCTTAGTGGGTTTCAGCACGCCTTCGAGCATCTACTGCCGATCCGTTGAGATCCGACAAGCAATTCTCACCATTTCCCACTGGAACACCGACTGGTTGTAGAAGGACTGGATCTGTTCGTTGAAGGCGTTGACCACCAGCTGCTCCAAGTAGTTCGTGCTTCTACACTCGAAGCCATACATGTCCAGGATCCCCACCGAGTTGGTCTCCCCGCTGGGGAAGGCACAGGCAGGGTCGCAGACTTAGAGTCAAGTTAAAGCTTCCCATCCAGCAGGGGACTCCGCAACGCTAGAAACATCGGGAGATGGCGAGTGGAGATCACGGATTATGATCTTTCTTGCTCAGAAGTTCTGGGAATGCTACGAGATTGCACGAAGGGCAGCTAAAGCTACCGCAGCTATAATTAGTTGTGGAAATTTCCTGGAAGAGCTCGACCGTCTGGCATACCGAAAGGATTCTAAATCCATGTGCGCATAATTATTTTCAGATCATTTGGGGGCGGGGCGGGTTCATTGAGCTTGACACCCAACAGGGCTCTTTAATAAACGCCAGATAACCACGAGACAGCTTAGGAAATTACATGTCATTTCTAGCATATGTAAAAAATGCAGGACAGCGACACAACCTCGTCACAAAAGGACGCCATCTCGTGCACCGCACTCACAACAGCAGGCGCGTGAGCGTGAAGGCGGCGTTGGTCCAGTTGACGACGCTGTCCACAAGGCGGCCGTACAGGAGGCGGGCCAGCGCGTCCCGCGAGCCGACCGCCTGCGCCGCCGTCTTGGCCTCCTTCACCGGGTCACCGGCCACGATGCTGCAGCGGTGACGCAGCGCCCAGCTCAGCTTCGTCTCGTCCACCGAGAGCAGGAACGACACTGGGAATGGCGGCTTTGGTGTCAGTGTGGTGGCTGAAAGGTCACTGCAAACAGGGGCTCTGTCGGGAAGGAACGCTACTTGTAACAGCGGCTCTTGTGTCAGTCCGACATTAGGTCGAGGGAGCGGTGCTGGGAACATGGCGTGGATATTGTGTTAGGTGGCAACACTGGAAATAGTCACCACGAGCATTTGGAAATTATGGATAAAAATGGCCGCTTCCAACATACGAATGGAGTGCCACTGTAACTAATGTTCGCGCCCGCCCGTCCTGCCGGGTGAGAGGCAGGAGACGCCATATAGCCTCAGCAGCTGAGTGCGTCGTAAAGCCCCAATCACTCATAGCTAATGTTCACTGCGTCAGTAGAGAACTGGATTGGGATCTCAGCGCTAAAGTAATGTTTTTGTTACCACACATGAATCGCAGTCAAAAACATTCTTCAGTTACTCAGAGAGAACAATTATTGGGGAAACTTAAAAATTACGGTCTCCTTTTCCAATCACATGATTGACACTCAAAACGGTTGCCGTTTCGGATACTACAACAACTATCGAACTGAGGGCGAAAAAGCGCAGTGAGCGATGCGCCGAAAGATGAGTATTATGCTCACTAGCAAAATGGCGCTACATATTAAAGCAAATATCACGGACAAAATGCTCATACGTCACCTTATGTTTTGTCCTGAACCAAAATTAACTGAGACGAACATACATAATACCGTCGGTCACCTGTGCTGAGTACATCTTTGTTGGTAATGGAGACCCCATCATCAGCATCCACGAAGTCGACCTCTCCCAGCAAGAGGATGGCAGCCACCACCTTCCTGATGGTCTCCTGTTTGTCCTTGGAGATGTCCAGCGTGTCCAGAGAGCGCTCAAACTCCTTAAACTTCTCCGCGCTCTCCGCCGGGTCGATGTAGCGATGCATAGGTAAGAAGCGGTAACTCTGAATGGACACGCACATACTGTGAACATATGGGCCGTTTCCAAACTATCAATTTATGTAGTTGTTTGTGTACAAATACGAATTCAATTCGGGGGAGCACCTTATAAAAAAGATTGCGGCTTTAGTAAGAGACATATTTTAAACTTGTGAGACAATAGGTTCTTTTCTGGCGCCTTTAGGTCAATTTGTTTCTGGTGGTTGGAAAACTCCTACTTTCACGAAGAGGAGATAAGTATAGGGAGGATGGGCTTAGGTTCCCAAGAGAGATACATAATGATACTTGCATCTTTTTTCTGAAGCTTGTAGATTCCCAATCTTCCACTTTGCTTGAGTCCGTAGAAATACGCATAGAGAGCGTTGAAGGTACCGTCGTTCCTGAAATAGACAGTAGGGCTTCGTTTATCGTTAGGTACTCTGGCGAGTACAGAATATAGAAAGATGCAAAACAAGCAAAAAGAAAGTTACCTCACTTCAAAGCAGGACGGATCCTGGTATGTTAGCAGAGCGGAGCCTTCATATTGAAAGGAAAAATAGGAGCGCAGCTTCTTTCCAGCGAAACGCATGACGCACTAGACGGGGTCGGATCATGCCGAACACCTGATCGCCGCTTTGTAGCGGCGCGCGCGCGGCCGTGCTCACGGTCGGGAGTCGGCGATGCGCCACCTCTCCAGCATGTACACCCAGACGATGACGCCGCTGAGCCGGCCTGTCTTGGCAAAGGTCGTCTCGAGGTAGCGCACCTGGCGCGTCGAAGCCGAGTTGGAGTTGGTGGCAGCACTGCCCAGTAGCTCCACCACAAACTGGGCGCTCTTCACCTTGTCGGCCAGCGGCTGGCTCTGGAGGCGAGCACCGGGCTGGGGTGAGTGCGGAACGAGGTGAAGCTTGGTGGTCTTGTACCCAGCGTTCTTTGCTGGTGAAGGTGAGCAACACATCGATCAGGCTTTAGAGCTTAAGATAAGTAACTCTGGCCTTACCGACACCCTAGCTACAGACAACCTTAGTCTTACAGACAATGCTTACACTATGCTGGTGTGGTGAAAGTCTAACCTTTGGCTATTTGCAAGGCTCCGCGATACTCAAGTCCAATTTTCTTTTTATTTTCAGGGTCAGTCCATGGTATCTTCCTTCACAGTGGACCCAAGCCTACCTTGCCGAGGTGGCAGAGGTGCTCCAGAGCCATGTGGGCGTTGAAGGTCTTGCCGGCGCCGGTCTCACCGGTAAAGACGATCGTCTGCGTCCTCTTGTGGTGGGCCATGTCTTGGTGCGCCCGGTCCGCCACCGCAAACACGTGTGGTGCGTTGTCTGACCGTGCGCGTGACCGGAACGCGTCGTGTGCCTGGGCCGGGTTGAAGCGAAGGCGAGCTGGATGTAGTTACCAGAGATAGGCAGTGGGGCCACTTTCTCATGAGACTGAACTCTGTTATCAACATCCGCATCAGCAAGTTCGTCTCCAACGGTCGCTCCTGACTCAATGAATCGATATCGGCTGCTAACAGGCTGTCTATACCCTGTAGTCTAGCGTTGAAAAGAACACAAATATTGCGGGAAACTAATCATGGCAGACTCTCGTGGATCACTTGGCCTTTCAGGCTAAGGACTGCTTGTTCTTTCATGAGATCATTGGGCTGACCTGACTCTCTCCATCACTTCCGTGGGGGACTGTCGTGAATAAGGGAGCATGCAGGAAGTAATTGGTTTGATTATTGAAATTCAAGGAGACTGCACCCGCTGGCCGCTATCTTTAGCTCCAGTATACATGCATTACTTCCTTTATGGGACGAGAAGTCGGTTTAGAGATTTTGCACTATGTTCACCCCAGCCACAGACCACGGCTTCCAGCCGTCTCACGACGTGGACGTTCCCTGACCTTGGCATCGAAGAGTGCTGTCTCCGAAAATGGATTGATGGCGATCAGGACATCAGCAACAAACGTGTAGATCGTGCCGCGGTTGAAGCGCTTCTCCAGCAGGTTCAGGACGCCGTCATCTGTGACGTCCTCCAGCGCAGCCAGGTCGTCCTGCAGGATCTCCGTCGACTTGGAGTGAGGCCGCGTCTGGAAACATCGCAGACTGACTAGGTTGTGACTCTAGCACCCATAGACCCCATAATCTGTGCCCCCACCTTTCTCCGACCACCGCTCTCATCACAAGGGCGATCGACAGACCTGTCGCAGCCCAGATATCACAGGCGGCTTCCGTGCTGTTGGCTTTACTCATATGAGGCCCACACTAACGGAGATTGACGCCTGTGGTGCGGGCCGACACTGACCCTCAGATAGCCGGCCTTGGACGTGACCGGGGCCGGTTGGAGGCTGGGCCTCGGACCGGTGCCGGCGACCAGCGCCGCCAGCTCCTCCCGGATGTCAGACAGGCGCGGCTCAAGATCGGCCAAAAACGGATGGCTGATGACCTCCTCCATCAGCGGCCGGTTCTCCTGGTTCTTCTCCAGACATCTGTTGCAGAGGGGGTTGCAGGGTCGTGAACAGGACGGTGGACAAACCTTGCGGCAGGTGAGTTATCGTTTTTGGTGTTATTATTGTGCTGATGAGGGGCAGTTGTGACGAGGATGGCATGATGGTGTGAATTATTATTTTCACGTCATTGCTCAAACTTGTACAACTGCGTCAAATTAGATGGTTCGAACACACAATCTCCGTAACAACACAAACAGAGATTTCTCTGGTGTTGGCTAAAAAAAGTTGAAGAAAACAGGGATGGTTGGTCGTCGCTGCACGCGCCACATCAGAGCACGTCCCATCCATGCAAGAGGCTCCTGCCTCGGACGTACTCGACGATGAAGTCGAGGTAGTTCTGACTCCAGTCGGCGGGCCGCGCCAGCGTGGGCGGCGGGTTGCGGGTGATCTGGAACATGGCTCGCACCGGGTGGATGTCGGCCAGCGGCGGCACGCCGTCCCCGAGCTCGATCGCCTGTAACGCCTGGAGCAGCGGCGGGCCGTCGCGTCAGGATTCAAGTGAGCGCCGCCGGGGGCAGGCGGACGCGCCAACCCCCTCCGAACGCCTCTGGCTCCATCGCATCTCACCAGCGGTATGCAGATTACGTTACGGTATCTAGCTGTGACCACTAACGCCTGCAGCTGTTCCGTTTGGGCCGTCGCACGCCCGTCAGTAGTTCATGCGCCACTGAACGTTAGTCCCGACACGGCGGGAGACCCGGCTTACCAGGACCTAGCAGCACCACGGGGCCGGGCTTAACAGTGGAGCAACCGCTCTGAGGGACCAGATGCATCAAGGGACCAGACTTGTCGAGGGACCGGACGTATCGAGGGACCGGACGTGCCGAGGGACCAGACGTACCGAGGGACCAGACGTCGGCGCGGATGTCGTACTCGCTGTCGGGCAGCTGGTCGCAGAGAATGACCTCGGGCGCCATCCAGTAGGGGGTGCCAATGGCCGTGCCGTGCCGACCCATCGTCGACTTGAGGTGGCGAGAGATCCCTATCAAGATGGAAAAGGTCGTGAGCGATCAGCTTACGGGGTCGGTGTTTGGGTGGTTGGGTGACTACATCTGTTCATTACGGTGAAAAGTTGATGTCTTATAGTTAATAATTAAAGTTGATGATTATGTTGATGATTGTGTCGTCTTAAGGTTGATGATTAACCTGCAAGACATCAAATGATGTCTCGCGGGTTAATGGCGTCATATTTCTGCAAGAGTGGCTGAGAGACATAGGAGGAGCAGAGTTGAGATGTCAGAATGCAAAATAAAATGCAGCGAGGGAGGGGTGTCGGCGGACGTTGGGAAACGAGTGGCGTATTCTTGAAATGCGAAATTCCCTGCCGGACACTCCGAACCGTTTCTGTCGCTAGAAAACGATGAACCGTCTTGACAACAGCTATCGTAAGTCAATGTACTATCAATAACACGGCAGAAAATAACTGAAGATGGCTGCAACGCGCGTGGTGGGAATCAAGGTTACCGGGGTCCGCACAGCCAAAACCACGAGAACGTATGTAAGTACAACAATCTACTTCTATACGTCTAGGCTTCTCCGTTTCACGGGAATCGTTGCCTCGTGTTCCTACAGCATAAAAAGACAACTGATTTAAGCCCAGTATCATAGAGCTGTCGCGCTCCAACCGTATGGTGTCTAGACATCATAACTGTCGAACAGCGCGTACCAAAGTCGATAAGTTTCACATCTCCCTCGGCCGTGATCAGAATGTTCTGCCCTTTGATGTCACGGTGCATGACGTGGTTCCGATGCAAGTGGCAGGCGGCCTGCGAAGACAGGACATTTGGAGATGACGAACCCACTCACCAAACATCTTTGCTTGGGTTCGGCTCGGGCGCGGTCCACCTCCGCCACTGTATCGGTTCTGATAACATGCAATTGTATTGATCTGGTAGGAACCATGCCTACGCTGCCTGAAATTGAGTGCATGAGGGTCTAAGAGGACATCACATTTAACAAATCACAGATGAGCACCGAAGCTTTGCCCTAATGACATTCCGCAACAATTCACATACCTTTATCTCAGAGACATGGGACAGATGCGCTCCCTGCTTCGCCTTACCTACATGTAACTGCTAAACCAGGTTTACTGAGTGGCCACTGTTTGGCAGCTCGGCCTACCTGAGCGGCGTGGTACAGGATGTAAGCGATATGATCCTCCTGCATGAGCTGACCCTGCTCCTTGAGCCGTCGGGTCAGGTCCGTCGATGATCCTCCCGAGCAATACTGTCGCCCGGGCCGCTGAGTCAGTGATGAACGCTCACGCGCCACTGCACAACCAGCCCTACTTCAACACTGCACATTACGCGTGCTAGTTGTACATTCAGCCACTAAACAATCGTTTTTTTAGACACTTGTGGACCAGTCGTTGCTAACAGCTCTCTCCATCTAACGAAAGAACCAAATTAAAGTGGCACGAATCTCGCCTTGTCACGATTTCATTTCATTGTGAATTAGCCACTTCCCTTTTGTTTATCATTCTACAGTTGACTTGAAGGCTACTTCTTCCTTATCTCTTTCATTTACACCCAACTATTTTTGGCGCATCGTTGGCTTAAAGGAACATGGAGGAAGCTTCTACTGAAATGTGACTCTGGCTTGTAACCAGACTGCCTGTTTACCTCCATTGCTATCCATATTTGTTCGACACCATTGCTCTGGATCTTCCTAAAAACTCCGTAAAGTTTTGGGATGTTAGGATGCACGGAGAGATCTTTCAGTATTCTGTACTCCTCTTCAATATCTGGGAAGTTCTCTTCGGTGTTTTCAATTATCTTAATGACGACATGACACCCTGTGTAGTCAAACAAACGCAGTTGTCAGGACCTAGTCACATTCCTTAACTTTTGTGTTTTCTGTCCCCTCTGCCACCCTCAATAAGTTTTGTCACTTCTTCTTGTTGACTGCAAGTGACGGCATTTTACAATCATCGCTGTGAGAGAATTATAGCGTACTATTGATATCGTGGACTTATGCAGCCCATTTCCGTTTCTCACCAAATGTAAAGCGTACATTATCAACCAAGCAAACTCAGCGGGAAAATTTGGGCAACTCGGCGCTTCAACTTCACTGGTTTACATTTTTTACACAGGCTGTTGGTGACCAACGACATTCATGCACCACGCGTCACGTCTTCTTACGACAGGCAAAGTCGCTTCGACCGACGCCCTCTCCGCCAGCCAGAGCCAGTCGGTGCAGCCTGAGCGTCATCACCTGAGCCCTTATCCCTGGCCAGGTGGATCTCTCCGTAGGTGCCCTCAGCGATGCGGTCGCCGAGCTCGTACAGGTCGGACGGGTCGGCCAGCTCGTCCACCCGCAGGTATCGGCCGCTGGGAGCCATGCCGCGCCGCGCCGAGCCCGCACCTGCCGCCGGCGCACCGGCACGTTCAGCCTCCTCGTGTGGGGCACCACCGACACGCGGGCGGCGGGAGGACCAGGCCACTGCGGCGGCGGCGGTCGTTGCGGTCACGTTCTCAGTCCAGCACGCTGGGGTGAGGCGACAAGACTGCTGGTGTTGAGTCGTTATGCACTTGAGTTTTGCAAAGGGGTGCAAAGTCATACCCTTGAGGTTTTCTCATCATCGTTCTTGATTCAAGGTGTCGTGAAGAATGACATCAGATATGCTACCCATAACTGCATTTGAGGACGGTGTTTGGCTAGATATATATGTTGGAGTAATTGCCAGGTGCAAAGACGAGCAATTTAATGTACTCTCTTTCATCCTTTTTATTTAATCGCCAAAATGCCGGCATTTGACGGCATTTGAGGATAGTTTGATTTTGATCATGATGATGAATGTTACGTAAAAGTACGACAGACTTGGTGCATTCTTTCCTTCATTCCTTTTATTCGAGTTTCACCAAAATGCCACGAAATGGCGAAGTTTTCATGAGGAAGGATGATCTTTTTGTAGGTGAATGCAAATAAGATTAATAAAAGCCAATATGATCACAAGTTATCTTAACGAAAAGGACCCAAAAGAGATCGAATCAGCTGCATGGCTCGACTTAAATAAAATGTGCCTTTCTCTGTGGTTGACACAATGTAAATATGTACATCGGCACTATAAGACAGCTTATCTAAAAAGTGTGGGCTTTGATATTTCATAACCGCTAAGCTGGAGGTGGCCTGTACTGCCCGGAGTATTTACATTGCAGAATATTGGCATATCCACGGGATTTGGAGAGGCGTCCTTACCGTAGATCTATGCGTATCCTGGTAAGCTGTTGTCTTCTCTCTCGTTCCGCTGCGTAGAACTCGACTGCAAACGTACAAAATGAGTCGAAACGAGGTGAGAGACGCAGATAAACATTGCACCTTGACATTCTAAGAGAAATACTCGCCTGTTACGCATGCAGCAACGGAACTGAAAGTGACGGACTGGCAGTTATGACCTGATGAAGGCGACAACGACCCTGCCAGGCGTGATTTACAGGCATCCAGTGCAATCATCATTCTCCACATAATTTCTTGCACATGCAGTTGCATTCGTACATGAAGGCGCTCGATTTTTATCTCCTTTTTCCTTTAGACTGACGTGACTAAAAGTGGTCGCGTGCTCTGGGTAGTAGCATGAGGTGACCATTTTTTTTTGTGGGTGCCGTATGTTCACCATAATCGACGCGTCCCTAAGCCACAAATAATAAAAAGCGAGACTTGGCGGTCGGTGGGCAGCATCAGAGGACGAACGCCCGGCATGGACAAAGCTGCACCGGCAGCATTCTCAAACGCTACTGTATGTTTGAGACGTTCGCCGTGTCACGTCTGAGAACGCAGCCCGTCCGCTGATGCTTGTTTTGGCTGAGAGCTAGATCCTCCTGCCGTATTCGGCATAACGCTCGTTGGCAGTGCTCCAGCTGCCTTCTTTAGGTCATACATTGCCTCCCTTCAGTTCTGATCCTAGATATGCAATAGACACATCATCATCGAACAAGTCAAAGCGCAAGACATTCCTACCTCCATCAGATGATTTTGGCCTACGCTGTGCGTTTGCGGTCGATTTATGCGCAATGGAATAAGGGAGAAATCCCAAATAGTCCAGTGCACGCACCTATCTACGGAAAAGACCCTCCCCAGACCTACTCAGGCCCACCTCATCGTTAAATTTCTAGTTATAGTGGCGTTGTGCTTTGCACTCACTCATCACCTGTCAAAAGAACTCCGGGCATCTGCAGCACAGTGGATGCGAGATGTCAGTGAGCAAACACTTTTTAGGCGCGATGATTGCTGCTGAGGGTTCAACGTGAATATACATTTTATGACCACTGTGCATCACACTGTAAATCTGTGCCAAGGGCACTGCACAGCTCTAATGAAGCGCCACCGCCTGTACCCCGTTGCTCACCTGCCAGCGATGTGTCGTCCCCAGTCGCGCGGTCCGGTCGCGGGTCAGATGGCGGCGTGGGTCAGGCCTCGGGCGTCAGGCGTCGGCACCGAGCTTGACGAGCGGCCGACCCCACCTAACTGTCCGGGCCCGGCCGCCCCGGGGCGTGGGGCTTCCGGCCGCGAAGCCTTTAAGCTCGTTACGGAGGCCCTACCGCTGCCGGCGCCCGCTGCTGTACCGATTCCAAGCCGCTCAAACACTACCTGTATCCGACGTAACGACAGATTGCTGGTGGTGACCGGTGCCAATGGGGTTTCCTGTCATTGGAAACTTGCAGGTATTCTGGGAGACGAGAGGCATTTGACCGTGCTATTCTGCAGAACGCGTCTCGCATTTGGTATGAGCCTCATGGTGCATGTGATATTAGACTGATGTCGCATTTTATTTCAGCCTGATGTCACATCTTATTTTAGCCTGATGTCGCATCTTATTTTAACCTGATGTCGCATCTTATTTTAGCCTGATGTCGCATCTGATATTAGCCAGATGTCGCATCTGACAGTAGCCTGATGTCGCATCTGACCTCAGCCTGGTGTCACATCTTATTTTAGCATGATGTCGCATCTGATGCTAGCTTGGTGGCGCCGTAATGGATGGAAGCTCCGGGACATGTGGACTATCTCCGCCAATCTGAACGAGTAACAGCCATTGAAGTCTTTAAGAAAGCGATAATTTATTGAGGTACATAGCTACATAAATTATTACCAAGGGTCTCAGCTGAATGCAAGATTGCCAATGAACTGTAGAATACATTTTCTTTGGCAACTAGCTCATCGTTCAGTTGGACGACTCTGCGCATCGTTGCGCATACCGTGGCAAAAGGCCGCAGATTTGACATAATATGCATGTCAATGATTATCTTTACTTAGGAGATCAAGGGAGACACGCAGAAATACATATATTGAAATCGTGCGGTATTTCATGAGCAAATCCAGAAAGTTGGCACATCTGTGGATCGCTAAAACGTTTTTCAGTACGACATTTTTACGTATTCAGATCGCATTTATCCTTGTTATTTGCTATACATACCTTCATAAAAATTTCAGCATACTTTAGTGGTTTAGATTAATACTCTTTGGCAGTGTCCTGCATCGCGATGGCGTTGGCCCAGGCATATACCCCGATTAAGCACATGCTCAAAATAATTCTGATTTGTCTTTGGCATGCGCCTGAATCCCGCTGAAGGCCTGCCATTTTGCATTTCGCCTGTGTATGCAGCGTCCGAGCTTTCTAGCTTACAAGACTTCCGACCAGCCAGTGAACTATATGTTAAGGGTGCTTTTCCTCCTAAAACGTAACTGTGTATGTACCTGCGCGCAATCTTCGAGCACACGATCACTTGCTGCTTCTGAGATCGTTGTCACCTTCCGCCCTGATCGTTCTCAGTTCAAAGATCATTCTTGAGTTAATTTTAGACGCGGTGTCAAGTTTGCTTTCAACAAAAGTTCGAGGCATACGTTTCAGGAAACTCGGTTCCGGAGAAGGTGGAGGTTTCCCCGCATTATTGGATGGGCCCTGATTTTGGGTCCAGTGCCCACCAGTCTGTCCGAACACTCTTGTGTGTAACACCCTTCTATCCGAAGTGTGTTGTTAGCCAACCCGGGCTCACTCGAAGCTTTGAGGGTGTGCACTCTCCTACAGGAGCGATGTTGCTGATCTTTATCTGTTATTTATTTCCATGATAAAACGTAATTTATTAAGCATTCAGATATGGTTGACCAGCCCTTCGCCCACAAACTGCCTGTAATATTTAGTGTGAGGCTGTTACACAAACGCCACAATTCGACTGACAAGAACAAGGTTCCAGGCCAATGATCGCGCAAACTTAAGGAGATGTGTAACTTTTTTGTCGTTGATATTTTGGGTGAGTTTAAAAAAGGCCATTTAAAAATGACTCGGTGATGTGGCCCACTCGGCTATCAGTACCAATATGGGCAAGATTTGCATGGATGGCTCAGCTGCTTGTTCGGATCCTGACAGTCACTAACATACGGGCCCATTTCCTATATCCGGCACCACAAATGTCAGCGGGACACGACAAAAAATCATACCTTGTCAAACAAAAACATAAAAACATAGTAAGATGTCATGCATCGCAACCCAGGTGTTACTTGAAAATGGACCTGGTCTGGTACTCACCCTAAACATGCATGCCTTGCTGGATGGCATGACTGCATGAATCCTGACTTTGAACTTATTTGGTACGCGTCAATAAGCGGGTCAATCCCACTCGGGTAATGACTGTGTCGGGACTTTGTACTGATCGCCGGCTGCTGCTGCATCTTATCTCGAGGCTTTGTCAAGCGATGTTCAAAACATCGAAACACGTGTGGCCGTGGGTACAGCTTCCTTGTTTACAGCACTGCAACAGAAGCTGCTCATAAGCATTGTTTGTGCTTTAGAAGTCGCATTTGTAAGCACGGCTCCAGGTGTTAAGCTGATGGCAGCTGTGGTACACTGTCTCAATGCATTCAATACCGGCTTACAAACTACTAATGAAGGGTCACGACTTTTTCCCATGGAACCAAGCACAATGCGAGTGCAATGCACCGGAAATGCGAGGTCATCTGGAAACGCCTGTCCATTCGAGCAGTTCTTTGTTCCCAGTGTTTCGTTAAAAAGGCTCGATTGTGAACTCAGCAGGTCACCATCCCATCAAACATCGTATAAAATCGAAAGCACTCCACAGACTTGCAAGCTAAGTGCGACGGAGATCCATCTGGCTTTGCAACCGGGTGCGCGGGTCAGATGACACCGGTTCTACGGCGCCTCCACCTCCATTGCTCTGATGCGTGGCGCGACAGCCTCCCGCCAGGGACTGGCTCGGACGATCGGCAGGTGGCGGGCTCGGCCAGACGCCAGATGGCGGGTCGATCGAGCGGCCTGGCGCGGCACCCGGTCCTGCTGCTACCGCCCCCCCCCCCCCCCCCCACGTCTCGGTGTCGGCGCAGCGGCCGGGCGGGGATGGAGCCGGCGATATGAGGTCGGGCTCACGTAGCGGGGCAGCGCGGTCGGCCCCGCCGCCGGACCACACCCAAGGGCAGGGCTGGTGCTGGACCTAGGCACAGGGCCACCGGTACTGGACCTGGACACAGCATCAATAATTGTACTGGACCCAGAATTAGAGCTAAGACTGGACACAGCATCAGGGTTGAAACCGGACTCAGGGGCAGAGCTGGTACTGGACCCAGCATTGGGCTGGGACTGGACCCTGGAGCAGGGCTGAGATCGTACTCAGGGGCAAAACTGGTACTGGACCCAGGGGTAGGGCTTGTTCCTGGACTGGGGCCACGGTGGGCCTGCTAAACATGAGCTGCACCAGCATTCGTCCTGTGGTCCTTAGAATCACTTTAATGTAAGTTTATTGTCACAATTATGAGGTATATGTTGAATGCAGCATGAGAAAAACCTGAGAGAGCACTGTAACACATAGCTTACGCGATAAACTGTGTGATATCTTAAACGAATATGAGTATCGTAGCCGTCGTAATGATGAATTGTCTTTCATCCGAGTTATTATACAGGGGCAAGTCTGGGACAGATAATGAGTCCCAATTCCATGCTTATGCACCCTGCCGTGCTTTGAAGGTTTGGAGTTCAGTAGAGGGCCCGGGTGCATTGCACGTTTAAGTGACCACAAACTCTTTTTGGCGTGGTCGGGTCGTTTGTGTCGGTTGTCGAGGAATGGCTTAACAGCTTTATTGCGTGATGATACAGTGGCTTTCTGCCTGCATACCTTTTGTTTAAGCTTGAGTCACTTTGACTTCCGAATTACCAGGCAAAACTGTCTGAAAAATCAAATGATTGTCCTCGATTCATACATGTCTATATCTTAATGAATAAATAAACCAAATCAATCCCATCGATTCTGACCCCCTCCCCCACAAAAATGAGAGCTAAATCCACGCATAAACGCAGCTTTTCAAATAATGATTCAAATGAGATATTGAGCAAAGAAAGCTGATTTGATTGTTGATTTTGACTGAACGTGATTCTATTCAAAATTCATTCCTCCAAGGCATGACCATTTTCACAATGCCGTCGGGATACCACATACCAATGATACCCTTCGGCAGAACAGTTTAACAGTTTTGAATATCTGTATATCATTTGCAAAACACCGCACAGCAAAACATTTTGACATTTTGTTCAGATCTGTGGACATATACACATTCCCTACGAAACCAAGCCTTTTCTATCAAGACCGAATAGTTTGCATTGGCTGCTTCGTTGTGGGGTGCGTACTTAGCTGTCAGCTTGCTGCATGTATTCTGAACGCACTACCCAAGTTGTGCCGTCCAGCTCAAAGAAAACTTTGGCCCTGCCCTCTCGGGGCGGGGCCAAGGGGGGGGGGGGCGGTTAGGGTATTCACGTTGTTACAGCAAGGCCGCCTCGGCCGGACTTGACTCGCTGGGCATTTGCCATCTGGCGTTTCTGTCAGTCGGGTCAAACAATGCGCCTGGAATAGAGCTCGTGCCGAGCGTCAAGTAATAAAGAATCCAACATCTCTTTCTCACACCATGTGGGTGGCATTAATTATATTTCTATGGGACCATGGGACCAATAGGTTTCAATATGACATAAACATGTAACAGCCTCAATTTTTCTTCTTCAAATCCCGTTCATACTTATAATATATTTGTATGTCCTATCTATCTATTATTTCCATCTATGTTCCACTTGGTCCCATGTTAAATCATGTATTACGTCTATATTTCATATCTATTCAAAAAGCCAAATATATATCATAGCAAGCTCTTGTTTCCATGCTTTCGGTTACGCCGCGTACGTTGGCATGAGATGTTTTCAAGCACTGAAGAAATGTTTTTTAATCATGCTGCCGTTCTTTTTCAGGCTGTCGCAATTCAAGTATTAAGCAGCTCTCATATTTCGACGCTACTTCAGCTCGATTATTATTTTTTGCTCATTTGATCAAGCTACAATAACCAATTCACCAACACAATCAGGGATAACGGAAATTTTTCGGTTTGTTTTGCCATGACGCGAGGTGGCGCCGTCTTGGAAATACCGCCGTCACAGGCGGACGAATTCAACAGCCAC